ATTGCAACATCTGTTAGTTTTACCATTACAATAAAAAACAAATTAGATTAATCGTGTAAAAAGGCAAATAAGGACACAAGTATGCAAGTGCAACGATAATTAATTTAACAGATACATACAACAAAGAACATATTGTTTTTGACAAAATGACACCTAAAATATACCAACAAATATATACTTCTTTAAGGCGATCATCCACTCTATCTTTATATTACACATACATGACTTTTAATTGAATCTTGATGATAAACAAATAAAGAATATACAGAAAAGCTTTACACTGTGATGTCACGAATTTTATTATTGGATATTTAATTGTTTGGTGAGTACCATGCAGAAGCACAATACGAGAAGCTTAGAACATAGTTTTGTATATTATAATAATGATTATGAAGTTAACCCTCGCTGTCTATATTCTGTCGTCAGCATGTGAAATATGTTTGATAAGGAAGGAAAATCTTTACATCTTCACAATTCATAGGTGGGTCGTCATGTAAATGGATTGTACATTGATTTATACCATTCAGCTGAATGAATTTAAATGGCTACTTCTTAATGTTTTTAGGTGTTTATATACGCCAACGTCATATAGTAGTATGGAGTGATTATTCAGGCAGATGTGATGTACATACACCTGTTTGAATTAATGGAATCGTTGTTGGTGTCTTATTGAAAACAATCTTGGTTTTTATTTTCACTGATATAAATAAATTCTCATTACATTTTATAGGTATGATATAAAATTTTGTTTATTGAAATCTTAATAGTTGTAAGATAAGAATATACATTTATCATAATCCCCTCGACGTTTAAACATTCACGATTTCTATATTAATCTAAAATAGGTGAACTATGATAATAGCTTCAAATGATTTGTCTAGACTTTGTTTCCTGGTGAATATATTTTTTTTGCTTTGTTAGTGTGAAATCTTTTCAGAAGACAGACATGTGGGCAACTTATTTTATTTTATTTCGGTGCATACATTGTACACATGATTTTGAATTGTTGAACCATATTAGAATTGTCTGATAATTCTATAGATTAATATATTTTTCAAAGGCCAATTATGCCTCTGAACTTTCTGAAATTGTTAAACACCTAACGTACTCTTAATACGTACTTAAAATATTATTAAACACATGTTTGTCATTTTAAAGATTTTAATACATGAAAATATGGACTTCTGAGGATTAGTGTGCCTTCAAATAAGAAATGTTGTAAGTCATCATAATTATCCAGAAAGAATTTGCAAATGACGGCTGTTTTACAACATTGTACGATTCATAGATTTCGTACTTATAGAACAAATTTGCCTAATTCCTTTGCATACCATGCTTCAAAATATTCCTTTACACACATTAGTATGGCTTTTGAGATAAATGAATGTGTAATGTAATGTAATCTTCTTCTTTCATAATTATATAGAAATAATAATATATGTTTCTACATTTTTATCAATAGCTGTAAAATGTACATTACTAATACATACTTTCATTGTTAAGGAAATGGTTTTCTTTATGATATGACAAGTGCAATAAATTAGAAAATAAAGGATATAAAGTTGACTGAGTACTTATTAAATGATTATTAACAAAACCTATACAATTTTATTTGATAATACTTACGAGGATAAAAACTAAACATTTATCTCATCAATATCCAATATTGTTTATCAATAGTCTCATTTACAATGAAAATACATTTCAGAAATGTTAATAAAATCCTCATTGTCCTCCATTGTTTTCATCATGCATATGTATTTCTTGAATTAAAAATGGTTTTTTTGTTAGCCACCTTACGAAAATTATTTTCTCCAAATCCCTGTTTAGTGTCGTTCACTGTAAGCAATTTTTTGAAAAAAGGACAACTTTGCGTGTTAGTCGTATTTTCTGTTTTTGGAATGTCATTTTTATCTTCTGAGATAATCATTAAACACTTTATAAGAGAATTTTCGTAATGAACAGTCAGACGACAGCGAACGTCAGCACGAACATGATAATCCAATTAAATAACTTGCATTGTTAACAAGCATATTAGTTTTATCTTTAGGATTAGTTTTCTATTTATCATATGTATTTGTTTTTGTTGTTGTTTTTTTGTCTTTTTTTATTTCTTTTTCAAATTTTTCAATATCTATTTCAAATAAAAATAAAATGTATGTTACGTATAATAATTTATTTATTCTTATTGTGTTGAAAGCTATAAGCTTATTGAAACTTCCTTAAATCAATGTCTTCATAAATGAACCAGTACTAAGCAATGAGGGTACGATTTCTTTCTCACGGAAACAACGGGGTTTGTACCCAAGCGGCCAGCAATCCTAATATAAATATTCCGACGCAATAAACACTCGACCACGCCGCTAATCCAAAATTAAATCTGTCGAGTTATGTTTACTATTTATCACGTAAATAATTGAACTTGTCTAGAAGCAACAGTGCCTTGAGTGCCTTAGAGCTTTTTTAATTTGATGGATATACTTTTATGACATACATTAAATGGTTATAGTAACATATGTAAGTTAAAACATAACCATAAACATAATTGTGAGTAAACAACAACATTATTGTTGCACAACGCTTATTATTATTTATCCGATTTTAATCAAGTGTCTTTACTCGCTTTATATTAAAAAAGAATTCATGCCATAGTTACTTCTATTGACAAACGTTTAAACATATATACAAATGGATAAGTTTTATCAGAAAATTATTTCTCATTTGTTTACAGACACAGGCTTTATGTTATTGATTTTTTCATCGCAGTTCATATATTTAGGTCAGTTAAAGCTTCACGAATGAATATTAATCCCTTAGGCAATCAAAATCGTCCAGTTCTACATATTTGAATAAATACGTCTTTATTATGTGTCAAGTATATGTCTAAGCTATAAAATGACGTTTAGTAATTGGGTTTTATGGATGTATACTACAAATAACTGGAACAAATGTACATAAGTTATACATACTCTCGGTAAACAGAAATCTAGTTTGATTTATGATATAAAAAGTACAATTAAGGTTTAAAAATGTATCATTGGCAGCGTAATTAATCAATTATTTACAGAGGCTAATTGACATTATTTGAAATATATTGCAGGTAGTGTTGCAATCATTAACATTTTCCAATTAATATCGACTAAAATAATTACTACACCTTAAATAATCTTATTTTACCAATATCCTAACATTTACCAGTGGTAGCATACATGTTTAAGGGGATCTCAACAGAGGAAGAAAAAACAACATAAAATTATAAAACTTGAAAAGTTTACATAGATCAATAAGGACAAATAAAGCAGGAAATCCATGAAAAAATGATAAATAATGCATCAATAATTAAATTTTAAATTGATATTAGGTGCGAATCTTAACCCGATTGTAGTTGAAGTGTTATACCGCATTTCATTCAGATCATTTTGAACAATAAAATGAATGAGTATTCAGAAGATGGAGTGGGTTAAATAAATTAAGATTTGTACAAAAGTTATTTCTACATCAAATTGTAAAAAATATATTATGTATCTATGTATTTTACTTAGTAAAGATATAACTCGGACCTTATGCTCCTCGTAAGACCCCAGCTTTGTCGAATAAAAAATTGGTCAAAATCAAGTTTTATACTCCTGTTTATGATACTTTCCCAGCTATACTTTATGCATTGAACCTAATAGAACAAATTATGTTATCTTGCGCGTGCTTTTGTAATCAACTTATAAATGCTCAACTTATTAATGTAATAAGTTGTTCACAAAATATAACATAATGAACTTCCACAGTTTGCATTATTGTATCTCCAAATATAAATAATTATTTGATTTAATCTTTAAGGTTTCGTTTACATTTTCAAAGTCGATCACGATTCATAAGTAATTACTTATGTACTCAATCTAGATTTAGCCTCCTATTCAAAGTAAAATATTAAAAACAATTGAAATCACGTTTATACCCCATATAACTTCGTTCTGATTTTCAGAGTTTAAACGACTCATAACCAATCCTTATTGTACTAGAAGTTTTGACACAATTGTAACAAAATAGCAATGCAAGAGTATGAGGTTATTACATATTGCTGAATACAAAACTTATTATATTGGATTCATACATAGCTGCAAACCCTATGAGTTTAAACATATTTTATTGCGTTGAATACATGTTTACAAGCCATGAGTATATATTATACAAATAATGAGTACATATCAAAATGCAAATGGGTTGGGCAACAAATTCTTACAACATTAGATTAAGCCCTTCCCAGGATCATCATCCACTCATCATGCATTCAGCTATAAATAAATATTGTGTTGATTTGTAAATGAATTAAAAACAGAACATCTGTGCAAGCCAGGAAAAAATATAATATTTTTAAAACCCGCTTTTCAGCTGATGGCTAAAAAAAAAATAAATCTCTTTTATCTGAATGTCAGTAAGTATTTGAACCTAAAGCAAATTAATAGCTGTTTTATTGTGATTAAGCGTTAATTGAAACAGATTGAACAATCCGTAGAACTTGGTATTTGATGGGGAAAAGTTAACAAAATACTCATCAGTGCAAAGCTGCGCTTTACTCCACTAGTATAGAGAATAACTGTTATCGGAGAACGCCCGCGTAGAGTAGCAGGACAGATTAAGATAGAGAATTCGGCTTCTGTGAAGAAATATTTTACTGACAGATAAAGCTAGGATACAAGAAAGAAATAGATTCTGTTACTTGTAGCTACAATGTCACTTACCTACACAGAGGCTTCTCGCGTATGAATTTGTATTTAAAACGCTCGGGTAAAGTATGCAGCTTCAGTTACGACAAAAATTTTGTAAACTAAAAAGGAAAACGAAATAAATTTTTTTGGTGAATGGTATTTTTTATAGTGATTTTGAACGGGGTTTAAAAAAAAATTAAAATTTTGGAGTAAATAAAGGAAAGGGAAAGTTTTTTGGGAAAATTTATCCCTTTTTAAATTGTTGTTTTTTATTCTGAAATTTTTTGGGGTTTACCCTAATAAAAAAAAGAACATTCACGTTTACCTACCAGGTTCAACTTTATGAAATAAAAATAAAATTAAATTTTGATATTTGAACAATATTTCAACAATATTTTTAGACGGAAATGACTGGTAAAAAATGGTTTTTATTATTGAAGAATTATCTGATTACAACGAATAATGAGTGCATTGCATTAACTTTTTTATACAGTTAAAGACAAATTCAAATTCATTGAATATCTGGCGAACATTTTTTAACAGTTGTGCATTGAACATAACGGTTGTTCTCAAGAAGAAAGAAGAAACCTTTAGTAAAATGTAAAATAATCGTTTTAAGACTGATTTATATAAATTGAAACATAGTAATTGCAAATATGGCAGAATCGTCAAAGGTTGATTACGTACCGGAAAATGGTGAGACAGTTACAATAGAAATTGAAAAAGCCAACAAAACAAATAAATCTTTACCTTGTCCCAATTCTGTCCATGACATTGAACTGGATTTAAAATACCGCCTGCTCGTTTTGTACCTGACAATTTCTCTGTGTATTATCGGGAGCATACTAGTTGTCCTCTGGATGGTTTACAATCGACGAATCTCAAAAAAATTCAATCACTTATCAAGAGTGAATGCTTTCATCCTTAATCTGACTCTAGCGGATGTGCTTGTTATATTACTTGCTGTATTTCCTCAGCTGATATGGGAATATGTTGACAGGGAGTGGGTTGCTGGTGACGTTATGTGCCGTCTTGTAAAATTTCTTCAAATCTTCTCGATGGTCTCCAGTAATTATATGCTTGTTGTGATAGCGTTGGATAGACACCAGGCTATCAGATCTCCACTGAAAGAGAGTATTTCGGTAAGTCAAGATCATTTTATGTCATATCAGACTGCAAACATCTTGCTTTATTCCAGTTTAACACGCGTCCAATTTAACATCTCGATAAGAATAAATCCATAAATCAAGTAACTAAATAATTTGACAATCGAATTATAAATGGATGAATATTTTACGAATCAGGTAAAAAAAAATAAATGACGAACATCACAATACTAAAGTTAAAAATTCTCACTTTTAAATTTTTGGACAACTTTACATTTCAGTTTTTTTAGTTATTCAATTGTTCGCACGAATGTGGTAGTTTGTATTAAGAGACGACCTTATTTGCATGCTTAATCAACTGACAGAAAAATTGTATAAAAAAATTTACTTATTTTATGTTTAAAACCTTTTTAAATTTTTTTTATAAAAAAAATGCATTTTACCTGATTGAAAAATCTTTTTAAAATTTGTTTTTAAAAGGGTTTTATTTTCCCCCCGATGTTCTATAATGTGTTTCTTGATATATATTGTTTCAAATATCTTTTAAGTTGTTTTCTTTGAAAGATCATCTTGTTGTCATGAAAGTGTGTGTATTATTAGATTCATAATTCTAGTATAATTAATGAAATTATTTTTCTTATTTCTTTTGGTTTTATTTTTCACTTAGTCATGTATTTATTTTTTTTATTTAATTTATACTATGAAAGCATTTGCATGTAAAAAATAATTTATCAAGATTTGTATATTAACAATATGTTGCAGTATGTTGTAAGGCATTAGTACGGACTAAATGTATTTTACTGGGCGATGTCATAAAGAATTCTATATTCTTGGTAAATATATATGAAGTTGCGTTGAAATTGTTTTGGGCTCAATAAATTTACCTTTTATATTTTATCCTCACCCTAATTGGTCAAACGTCACCATAATTGTCGCAAAATATACATGACATAAAAAAAACTTGTCTGTCCTATTCGCGTCATCATTTGCTTTCTTTTTTTTCTTTGGAAAAACATGTAAAGAGAAAAAGAGCTGAAAATAATAGCATACTCATTTTCCAGTGTGCTAGTGATATTTTTCAATATTATATCATAACATTTTTTTTTAATTTTACGGGTATATAATTATAAACTTGATTTGACATTTCACATATACTCATATAGTTATTTTAAAGCGGATTATAGAGAAAGTATAGAACAAACCTTATATCAGTATATCTTAAATTACCACTGATGTTTATTGCTTATAAAATCTTCCCCAATATAAGACGCATTCGACATTTCTTTAGCTTGATCGAACACACAGGAATGCTAAATTCCTAATATTCCAATATAATTACTAAATAAGCATAAATACTCAAACAACAATAAATTATTTTTATTTTTACTTTTTTATTGGACGAGACGTAAAAGTAATATTAACACGTATTTGGAGGGTTCGGGGATTATGGTGAGGTACGGTGAATAGTGGATATTCTCTGAAAATCTAGTGTTAAATCTACAGAAATTTACGTTTAAAACCAATCAGGGAAATGCATTTCAAAGGTTTTTTTGTGTAGATTACCTTTTAGTGAGATAGAATTATAAAACATTAGATAGAAGCGAAATGTAATAATGTCTTACTAAACAATTTCAGCGGAAACGTGCGTATGTAAGTACAAATGCTTAACTAAACACTTAATATGCATGTAATAGTTATCACCGACCTTGTAGAGAATAACACAGAGGTTTTATGTGATGCGTTATTACCTGCTAGACCATAATATAAGATATTCTTAGAATATAACTCTGTCTTATTAGGCATGTTATATGTTACTAACAGGTCAAAAATTGATTCTATAAATATATAATTTTAAGTAATTCCTGATTTACTCAAATAAGCTACTTATTTTCAATTAATGTGTCACTGATTATTAATCTTGAAGCGAAATATCAATATATTCCAATGCCGCTAAAATTGGCTGAATGCATCGTTAGTTATATGTAATATGGTCGTTAATAAAACATTAATTTGGTCTAATATAGCCGAGTGTTGAAGGTATCCGGATTATGAGTTACAAGATATGTACGGCTTAACGGCATAAGTCGTAATTAGAACCGATGACTTAAAATGAGTTTATATATTTATCAGGCTAAAATGATAGGTCTACGAAATATTTCTTTCGTCACAGTGTAATCTGATAATAGGTATTCAACGCATTATATCGAGGTATCGTTATATCTTAAACTTGAAAATTCAAGATAATAATCTATCAAGGTTTAATAGTGTGCTTCAAAATACTTGATGCAAAGATATTTCAGACAAAATTTTACACATTAAAATATTTGTTCCTTTAGGCAAAACCTGGAGTAAGTAATTACGCTTCCTAGCTTACTTGCAAAACAACCTTATGTGCCTGAAAATTGTCAGTGTGTACTTTTGTTGTACATTTTTTCAGTTTCAATTGTCAATGTTTATTTTATTTCTGCCAGTTTTATATCAGAGTTATTGTAGCGTTGTACGTTCAAACCTTAGCTCCGGTATTTTCCTGTGTGACACGGGGACATTTTGTGGAACAATATTCCTTCCTTTGATTATATTGTTTTTATTATTGTTGTGAACACATTTACGTAAGCCCTATGCAGGAATAATCGACAGTTCACTTTTTGTTCATACAAGTTTATTCAAACAATAAAAAATGTTGCATACAGGAGCCACGAACAAATGAAAGAAAAATAACTCAAATATCTCTTTTGCATTTTAAGTTACATTTTGCACCACTTATTTAATGTATGATAATGTCAAAATTAAATCGATGTTGTTCTATATTGTTTAAACCCGTTAACACAATTGTTTCTTCTGAAAACGTTTGATATTATAATTGTAAATTGATTTCCGTGTATGACTATGACACAAATTCCACCAAAATATATTATGGGTGTGATCAATATATGCAATATAACAATATTTTTTCATGAACAGGTTTAAATGCATCAATATCATATACAAAAATATTACATCGAAAAGTTATATATTATGTTTGTGTCAATATATGTTAAGAAAATTACAGAAATATGTTAGCAAATGTCTGTCTTTATTAATTAATTAAATTTACTAATATAAATTTTAAAATAATGACAACAACAACAAGCTGTTATTCTACATCAACATAAATTCTGACTATTTTCAGGTATGGAAAATGGCTGGAGCGGGTTGGGCACTGGCCTTTATAATGTCATTACCGGTGATGGGTATATTTCATACAAAAGCTAATAGAGAAAATGGGAAGATATACTGTGAAAACATTTTTCGCAATCTTCCACTTCTGCACAGACAGATATGGGTCACATGGAATTTCTTCGTTGTGTTCTTTGTACCTTTGATCATGCTAGTTGTTTGCTACACGAGAATATTTTTGAAGATATCTAGAAAAGCTAACCAGAACAGCGTTAAACATAAGCCAGGAAAAGTGTGTTTGCAAAGCACACATTCGAGTTCCCTGCCTAGGGCCAAGCTTAAAACGCTGAAAATGACATTTGTGATAATTCTGACGTTTATCGTGTGCACGATGCCATACTTTATAGTAGAAATGATTATGAGTTATGGCAATCATTGTATCATTTCGAAGAAATTATACGCACTTTTGGGCGGTATGGCTGCTTGCAATTCAGCGACCAATCCCTATGTATTTTTGCTATTCAATGTACAATTTAATAAGCTTAAAAAGCTGTGTAACTGCAAAGAATCGGATAGTCCTATGAATAGGGGACAGCAATCCTGTCATACTGGAACAACGGGAGTTTCCTCCCATTCAACAATTCATAAGAACAATATAAATCCAAATCCATTCTTTCGTCAGGATACAACAGATAGCCAAATGGAAATGAAAGTTATGTTTCTTGGAAAATAATCATGCTTCACCATGGAGAGCATTAATGTGCAATTGAATAACACATTGGATTCCTAGAAAAAATCATGTTACTGATTATAGTGGATTGGTCAATTTAAACAAATATGTAAATATTTAAAAAAAACACTAGAAGTGTAATCATAGTGATTTATATAATATGTCGTTCAAAGTTTTAAGTGATTTATTATGTATATACATATGATGAATAATAATATCTTAAAATATTTTTGAACAATGTATTATCTGCAATGTATATTAAGATATTATAATATTATAATAAAACATCGGATCACAATTGACAAACTCTAGCTTACATGTATATAATCATTTTGTTGTTTATTGTTTTGGTGATGATAATAACTATCAACATAACTATGTGTGATATTATAAACCTTGCCTAATGGACCATTTCGCTAGAAAAACTTGAATATATTGTAAATTTAATTATGACTATATGAGGCACTTACTGTGATTGTGCTTGAATGCTACGTTGTCGTGTTTTAAAATAGTGTCCTTAATATGCTTTGTTAAATAAAATAACCACCAAGTTATATAGCAGAAACAGGTATTATGATATTGAATTGGTAAATATTGATGTCGTAAAACGCAAGGGATACTATGGACTGAGAGAATAATAACTATGACATCAGAATTTTTTGGTGAATTTAAGAAATACAATGATATAATAATGTTTATCAAAATATTGAGCATTCTAATTATACATGCATTATCATTTGTTGTTCTTTTGAAACTGACGTTATAGATGTATAATTAAAATGATTTATTAAATAATTATTAAAATGAGAAAAAAATAATATTTTATGTTCTCAGGAATAACGTGTATGTGCACTGGTTATATTTTTATACTGTTATATCCAATGCCAGATAAAGAGTTGCAAAATCAAGATTCTAAACTCAACGGTAATGGTCACAGCAAGGAATTTATCCCGACGCGTATGCTATAAAGTCTAACGTGAGCCTGGAGCTCGTTTCCGGTCATTAAAAAAAATCAGTGTTACGTGCAAGATATAAGTCCGAGCTTAATGATTATGTTCACAATAAAAGATGGAACCTTCCAAATGTGTTATAAAGTCTTACCGCTTGTATTTGTGTCCGCCAAATGACAGTTTCATGAATTTAGAAGGCCAGTCAAAATCAGTTTGATTTTCTATAAATTTTCTGGGAATTGGCCATTCTAAAATAAAATGTAAAGTATAGTTATTGTCATTTTTAGAGAATTATTAACAAAAATGTGAAGAATGGTGACTGATTTGTGCCAAGATAAAAAAGGGGAGGCGCGAAGCGAAAACAGGCTAATTAAATAATAAAACATCGTCCCTTGGGGACGCCTGGCGAGATTTAAAAAATAAAACGGCGGGGCGCGGAGCAAAAACACTCTAATTACCGTTTTATTTCTGAAATCTCGCGCTTGTCGCGGAGTGACGATTTATTTATTAAACTTCGGCCAGCGCCCTGGCTAGTTATAGTGTTTTTGCTCAGAGCCACCCCATTTTAACTTGTTAATTCTCGATGTTTCGCTTGGCGGGGTCCCGGAAAGAAAACACGCAAATAAGCGGGGGGGGGGGGAGACGTTTTATTTACTAAACTTCGCCCCGCGCCCTCCCTAATTATAGTGTTTTCGCTCAGCGCCACCGCCATTTTAACTTGTTAATTCTCGATTTTTCGCTGTGCGGGGTCCGGGAAGCAAAGAGGCTAATAAGCGGGGCAGCGCGGAGACGTTTTATTTATTAAACTTTGCCCGCGCCCCCGCTAATAAACGTGTTTTCGTCCCTTGACCCCGCCGTTTTATTTCTTAAATCTTGCACCGCGGCCCCGCAGAGAGACTTTTTTTTATTAAACTTCGCCCGCGCCCTCGCTAATTAGCGTGTTTTCATTCAGTGCCCCGCCATCTGAACATGTTTATTTTTGACTTCTCTCTTTTTTTTCAATATAATAATTCTCTTCATACTATATGCAACAATTCTCACTCAGAAGGGTAAGAGAGTAAAAAATTATACAACTGATTACAGCAGTGCAAAGCGCGAGTAAATCGTGTAACAAATATTTATTTATAATTATAGATATGACGTCTCGGGAGATTATAGAAATCTGTATCAGTATTGTGTATTCTTCTTAGGTATATTATACATGTATAACTTTCAATGTATAGAACGGAAGCGAATATAAACTTCCAACACTGTGATATGGCTAATAGCGTGGGGATATTTTTAGAAACAAACTCAACAAAATATATCTTAATTCCTGATGCAACAAACCTTAATGATAATGGTAAATCATAAATTGATGAATAATTACAATAATTGTTTATATCGTGTTGCTACTTTCATCTTTCACATAAGTTACATTTAATTCACCACTCACCAAACATGAAACATGCTATAACATTTTGTAGCTTTTGTTAGAATTATTAGAATATTCTCGTAAAGGTGTTGATGAAATAACTCATACAGTACACCGTCTGTAGTTTATGATTTAGGATGGAAAATAATTCTTCGAATTCTTGAATGTTAGAATATATAAAAGATAATATCAGAACACTTTCACATGTTATTTCCTGTAAGACATTTAAAAGATAATAACTATTGTAATTCAGTTATGAATTAAGATGGGAGAAAATGGGGAATAACATGTAATTAGTTTGAAACAACATTTCATTTGACGCATTAATAATCCTCATTTCAAAGAATGCAAACAAATTCCAAAAATGTTTTATAAAAAAAAACTAGAAAAATGAAAAGCAAATGACATAATGAGGAGAAAGTAATTGCACTTAAAAACAAGTCATTTCCAATGAAGTCCTATAAATTCTTTTTTCCCTCTCGTCAATCATATTTCGAATAAAAATCTTGATAATGTGTCATTTTTTGCAAAGTGGTTTAAGTGCAGTTGGCCCTATGTGACCTAAGAGTATGTTTTCTTTTGACAGTTGTAATATGCAGGCTACATTATCTCTGATTCCCTTTCAAAATTCCATTTTATTGAGTTCCTCCAAATTTTTTCTCGGCACACGTATTCATTAAAGGTGGTAACATACGCCGCAGTTATGGAATGGTACTCATGTCACATTGAGGGTTCCATGATAACCACTACATAAACATATTTAATATTCTGTGGATGTTTTTTTTTATCTCCATTTTGTTAAGGTCCCTTAGCTAGAACCTAATGCACCTGATCGTTATTAATTTGGACTTCTGTCATGTACAGAAGCTATTCACTTAACTTATTCAAGTTTCGTAGTTCTACCAAGTTACCTGTTCGTGCCTGAAATTATGAAACTATACCATTAAAGCTGTAATGTCGCCACCTGACCTTACCCCTTTTTGAGAGACAGTTATCGAAATGGTCATAATTATAGCATATTTTAAGGTTCCTTACATAACATGTGCTAGGTAAAGAATGTATATGTTCGTTTCCAATCGTACATTTGTGACCAGTAAATTTTAAAAGTGTTTGCTTATTGTGTTCTTTTACTTCCAATACAGATGAATGATAATCTATAAATGTCCTTACATTAGATACATTATGTAGGCTTAGTAATTTTGTCTTTTCATAAATATTTGTTTTATATGCTAAATATTACCTTGAATCAATATTATAGCTTTGACATTTCATGTCGTTATCATATTAAGGTAGGATCCACCTAATGCATTACCTCCACTTTGAAGGGTATTCAAATAGGCTAGAACTACTGTCAACTGCATTGTTACTGAGGGGCGTGGGTTCAAGCCCCAAAAGCGGCAACTTTTTTTCTTTCTTTTTTTTTCTTTGAACATTATTTGTGTCTCTCATATCACTCTTGAGAAGAAAAAAGTGTTGCATTTTAATTATGAAATTATTATTGGTATTTATTGGCTAAATTGTGCCAAATTTTTTATCAAATATGGTACCTGATATTTTCAAAGTCTAATTAAAAAAAACTAGATGGTAAAAGTATTTTATATTTGACAAGCCCAACCAATATACTTTTAAGAAAATTTATGCAAACTTTGAAAACAGCCCCTGATTTGAGTAAATTTTAGAGAAATTTTGAATAAGGCCCTCCAAGTAGAAAAATGATCAAATAAGTACTTAAAATGGGTGGGGTAGGGTAACATTTATATACATGTACATATTTCAAACATTTTGAGTAGAAACAATAATTTTGCTGGATCATTTGTTAGCTGAATGCTATTATTTGTTTCTCAAAAATGTTCTATAGGAGAACATTTTTTCATAATGATTATAAAATAGAATATTTAGAGTTTCTCATTTCTGAAAAAGAGCCCTTCTAATAGCCAAGTTTTACTTAAGAAAAATCTCCATAACTCGTAAACCATAGATAAACTTTGTTTAAATTTTGCATTCTTGTGTCTTTTAAGGTATATAACTGACCTATGTTGTCAATTTTATAGTTCCTTATAGTGCCCATTACGGGGCTCTTAACGTTGGATGACTGAAAACGTTGTCAAATGTCCTTCAGGAGATGCATTTGAATTGACACATGTCAATAAAAATTCAAATTTCAATTTATTACTGTATTATACTACGATATGGAGATGACACAGAATGATTTTTACTTGTAATTAATGCAATTTACAAATGTTATTGCTTTCTTAACCTTGTATGTTTATAGTTGAATAGTATTAAGGTAAGATAAAGCTTATAAATGAAAATGCAACAAAATACCACTTAAATGTCATGATTGTTGCGTTTTTGTCTTCAACATTTTTTTTTTTAAATTTGATGCAGGGATAAAGGTGAAAGAAAGTTATGAAAGAAACAAATGATGAAAGATAATCAATTCTAATTACATAAAAAATTATAATAAGTCGCATTACAGCATTTGTCGCCGAGTGGATTTTTTTTAGATTTTTTTTTAAATCTCCGAAAAATATAAATTATCTTATTAAGCCAATAATCATTCTGATATTGATATTAACAAGTTTCTTTTACAGTCTGATAACAATAATAATTATATTCGTAGCGATGAATTTAAATATTATATGGAAATCGTTAGCTTACCTCAATCTGGGATAGTTCAGCTTAAGTGGTGGAGGTATACATCAGAGTCCGTGTGTGCATCATGTCAAGCGCGAGAGGGAACCTAAGAAGAAGAAGAAAAGATAAACCGAGATCCGTTAAGCTAGCTAGATAGTGTCCTCACTTGGTTGAATCAATAGTCAATTCCAGGCTTCGAACCGACACTGGTGTGGGGCAAGTAGTTTGAAGTCAGACATAGGCGACATATCCATGGTCATCCCACTTGATTACGTGTGGTATTAGTTTTTTAATCTGTACATTGAATTATTTAACTTCTTTATAGTTATCATACACGTTATGGCGTCAATAGTAAGTCAATAACGTTAATCAAATGAGACGTAATTTTAATATGTCACTTTGAACTTCTTTTGGCTTCATAAAAAAATTATGATTTATAAATCAAACATCCGTTGTCTCGTTTGATAGTTGGTCATTCATTAATTTGGTCACATTATTACATAAATGATTGGTCTCAATAAAACAAAAAAACCGCATAATTCATTTTGTGAAGTTTTCGTGGATTTGTTTAAGAAGATATTTGAAGCAACACCTTGTGTGAAGTCATGTTACGTACCTTTTGTATGTTTATAAGAATGAAAAAAAAAATAGCAAAATTTTAAAATATGTTGTGTTGTATCAATTACGCTACGAAAAAATACTGGATCAACAAATTAAGTAATTCGTGAATAAACTACCTTACATTCATTCTTTAAAAAATCATAATATAGTGTCATATACTACGCACGAAAAAGGTGGTATAAGTAACATGATTGTTCTTGCAAGAAAAATTTGTTCGTATGAACAAGAATTGTATAAGAACAAAAAATTATGAAAGTACATGATCTACGGAGCAAAATACAATATCGTATAAAAAAATAGTCATTGCAGACAATACGAAAATAGGAGACTACTTCCAAAAAAACCTGTTCATTAATTCACTGAATCACACAAACATAAAGAAGAGTTAATCAAGTCTGAAACTTATCCTGTTGTCAAATATTTACTTAGTATCCAATAAAGGGTATGTATAAAGCAATCTTCATCAATTCTAACTATTTTAGTTTAAGGCAAACCTCTTGATATTACCTACACGACACACAATTCTGACCAAATGACAATCTTCTTATAGAACAAGCACAATTGGTTTAACCTATGAATATTAAAGCTTGTCTACAAATAAAGATGATAATAGATTTTTTACTTCATTTAGAAGAAGTACATTTCTGAATGGATTAAAAACGTAATAATTCAGACATTATCAATTGTATGAATTGTGAACTAGTAAGCAACTTGAAGAGTTATGCAAAACTACAAAGCAACATAATGAAATATTTACAGTTTTAGTGCGCATGAAAATACCAACTGATTACAGAATAAATAAACTTTATATAAGAGACTATTGAAATATATCAAATAATACTTAGAATGAGTCATTCATTTTGTACGATATCTATTATTTCAGCAAGTTTCAAATATTACAATGATTTATAGAATTGTATACTAATTGTTTATATGATTTTTCTAATAAGCACGTTGTAATTAAATTCATATGTATCTTGCAAAACAAATAATATATTATAACTAGGCATAAAATATGAAGTGTGGATCTTTTAATTTTAAACGTTTTGACACCTAAGTTTAAAATAAACTAAAATGTTTCATTAAATAAATGCCAACTGATATCATAAATTTATGCGGTGAAAATGATATATGTATATTCTCGTATTCGCTTTACATAAACATTTCTTTCTGTATAGGAAAGTAATTTTACATTTAAATTACTTGAAGTTTGTATGAAGTGAATAAATAATAATAATAAACGTTTGTCGGTCAATAAATTGTGATGGCCTAAAATTCGTGTTCATTGTTCTTTGATAATCCTTTCGGGAGTTTTTTTTTTCTCAGATATAAGACACAAATGAAAAGTGTCTGTATGAGAGGCCTGTATACTGACATAAAGAACGTGACCTAAAGAATTTACCTAAAACGACAAGGAAGTGGGTTAACAGTTTGTGATAGTTTATGTCATTGCAAATGAGATTGAATTAAATTGATATAAGCAATATTTATTACAGTATTAATACAATTAATAAAGAAATGTGGGGAAGCGAATTAATGTTCTATTTTTTCGTACCGATTAATATATTATGCTTCTTTGATGTCAAATAATTCTTCAGCAGACTTCGCAAATTTGTTATTTTGAATAATTTCTTAATAATTTCGACCAGAAAAGCGACGAATTGGATTCTTAAAATGACACAATTGTTAGAATGTGAACAACTAGTTAAAGCAGAGATCTGCAAGATTGATAAAATATCACACAGAACTGCTCAAAATATACTAAATGTATTGTTCTCAACAGTAGCATTACTCTTTCATGATTCTTTACAGGTACCAACATATCTTTATTGAATATAGTATTCCAATTAGTTATAAATATTTAGACAGAAGTGGCACATATGCAATTATTTTTAGATATAAAATTTCTCTTAGACTTACATCAGATAAATCTCATGCTTCAATGTTACTGTGAGACAGTAGACAGTAGACATTTAATTGTATTCCAATAGGCTTTAAAGCCCATGCAGACATAAATCATGCACAATAACGAACAGTGTATGACATAAACGTATATACATAACATCAACAATCATGAAAAAAGTTTGGAGAAGATCAATTTTGATTGATAAAGTAAATACCAGCCGAAAATTTCTAAAGTAGTTACATAATAAACATTTTCATATCAAAATTGATCTTTGAACCACTAACTTATAGATATCTTATATATACATATACACATACATACACACATATACATGTACACACATACAAAAAACAAACATACATTACATGAGCCATTAATGCAAAAAATGTTGTAAATTAATTGAATTTTAATATATAAACGCAATTGCCATATGTTTATACACATATCCTAAAAAATTAAAGGTCCCTTCGCATCAATTGCAGATTTCATAATTGTAACAAATCTTTATCATTCATTTTGGATTATTTTGAAACTTCGACAGTCCAATTTCAAAAGTGCTTTGACTATACATGTTAACTTAAGTTGCTAATAGACCATCGAGCTGACTTAATTGCCAACATTTATCATATAAACATGACATTTATATCAATAGAAATCATATCATATACAATTATGTGCAACAACGTTTTAATTTTTCTCCAAAATTATATCTGTATTGTCGAAACGAAAGATGGATGTCAACATGAACATTACAACAGGACATATTTGCGTTATTAAACATATAGCAAAATACTTCTAATAATAAATGCGTTGTTTATATATTTCTAAGAGTTCATAAGATCTACAAATTTATACATGCTAGGCCGTATCCAATATTTTCTGGCAATATATTTTTTCCTTATATCAATGTACATTACACATTCAATAATAAAATGATATTCATCG